ACCACTACACAACTCTTAGAATGGCTAAAATTTGAAAGACTGACCACATCAAGTGTTGGAGAATATGTGGAGGAATTGACATTCTCATACACAAATGGTAAAATGTGCAATGGTGAAACTAGTTTGAAAAACAGTTTGGTAGTTTCATAAAAGGTTAAACATATACCACCAGAAGATCCTTTCTTGTGTCTTTACCCTAGAAAAATGAAAGCATTTCACTTCTCGGCCTTTTAGCTAAGATCTAGTGAAAAATAAAAGCACAGAAGTATGCAAAGACTTGTGCATGGATGTTCATAGCAGCTTTATATTGAAGAGTCAAAAAGTAGAAACAACCCAAATGTCTGTCAACAAGTGAATGGGTAACAAATTGTTGTATAGTCATACAATGCAGACAACTCAGTGATAAAACTGAGCTGCTGATCACACAACAACATGGATGAATCTTCAGTGTGTACTATTTGATTTCATTTATATAAGATTTTAGAAAACACAAACTTATCCCTAGTGTATTAATTGTTGAAAGCACATGTGTTGTTGCTTGGAGACAGGATTAGGAGGCTTAGAGTGGGGTGGAGATATTATAAAGTGGTGCTAGTAAAATTTTGGTGGGGACGAATGTTTTCTATTTTGATTGTGAGGACTGTTTAATGATGTCAAAGTTGATTAAATTGCACACTTTAAATATGTGTGGTTTTTGAGTGTCATTTATAATTTTAAAATGCCATTTAGAAAATAAAATAGAATTGTTGAAAGATAAAAACAATTTCCCAGAAAACATAGCTAACAGAAAAAAGATCTAGAACAGGACAGAAAGACTATGTATTAAGAATCAAACCATAAAGTGCAAAATCAGATTAGTAAGAGGCAGAAGAAATTTTCTAAAAAGTAATAGAAGAAAAATGTTTAGAGCTAAGAGATACAGATCTTTAGGTTGAGAGTTTCACCCAGGATCCAACACCATAAACAAAAGATTCATACTAAATTCACCTTTATGAAATACCAGGAAAACCTCACTCAGCCAGGGTCGGTGGGGTGGGGATAGTGAGGAAGTGAGAAGTTGGGGGTGAGTCACCTATAAGCAAATAAGATCATCTGACATCAAGCCTGTTGTCAGCATCACTGAATGATAAAATACAACGGTACAATGATTTCAAAGTTCTAGGGAGATTACTTTCTAACACATAAGTCAATGCTTAGCTAATTACCAATTAAACATGAAGGACCAAAAGAAGAGTCAAGAGATGCATGAAACCTCGAAACCTCCTGTCACCTGTGCTCTTCCTGAGACATTAACTGAAGATGAACTTAGGCAAAATGGGGACAAAACCAGAAAAAAGGAGAAACATGAACGATATTTAAAAATTATGGAATATGGGAGTTTAGTGAAAATAAGTCTCAGGATGAGATTTATAATGAGGAATTAGTTTGCAGCAATCCTAATTTGTATGGGAAGTTAGTCAATGCCAAGAAGAATATTTTCATGAAGTAAAATGGAAAAGATTCCCAACAATAAATTTAATGACTGAAGTGGTGGTAATATTACGCACACAGTCAAGAAAGCACATACGTCTTTCTTCATTACAAAGAATGCAAATTAGAAACTCCAGAATATATATTTGTGGGTGATGGAGTGAAATGAAATTTAAGAAGGTCTTGATGCAAACATAAATGTTATGTGGTTTGGATCAATTGAAGGAATGTGAGAAAAATAATTCATTTGACTTGAATCTTAGGAATATTCTCCTTGAAATAGCCCAAAGTTGAGATATTGTACTTCTAAAGGTGAGAAAGAAACCCAAGCAAACTGCTTAGCCCTGCTTTGAATAATATTTATGTAATCTTAATAACATCACAGTTGTTAATTTATTTTTAACTTTTAGAATTTATTTATAAGTAAACCCCTCAAGGCTGAAGTATAGTTAGAGTGCCAAATGTACAAGTTCTCAATCTTGACAATGAAGTAACAACTGACAGAACATCTCTTTTCTCACATGGCATCAACAAATTCCACTTTCCAGGCTAAAAGCACTATAGTATTTCTGTTGTTGTTCTTCTTCTAATGTTTACCTTTACACATTCAAACAACATACTAAACCTTGAACCGTACTTACATAATATAGCTCAATAATGTGGGTTGTTTTTAGTTTTCAACTTTTAGGATCAATCTGTAAACATAATCTTAAATACTGAAATACAATTTTATGATCTCAGTGTACATGCTTTCCACCTTGATAATGTAAAATTATAGTCACAGAAAACAGAAGATGGGAGGTGGAAAAGGAGAAAGAGAAACACATGGAAGGATGGGGGCATTGTATCTTCATCTAAAAAAATGGGGAGTCAAGAGATAAATGCCCATATCTAGTGAAATAAGAAATGGAGATGTAAGTTGTGAAGACATTTTCCTAAAACTACCAGGCTATGAGAGCCACTACCTAGTTTCCTATTTGGTTTCAAGATGCACAGACCCACACTCACACCCAACATGCCATTTCAGAGAATTGCATTTTACTTACAAGTACCCTCTACATTGCTTGCTTGTTGATTCTGTTTCTGTAAAAACCAAGGGCCATGAAGCACAAGTCCCTCTAATGCCAGGAGTACCTCAAACAATAACCATTGCTGGTTTAGCAACATGGGGCTGTATGTCCTACCTTAAAAGTGGTATCACAGGTTCCAAAGAGTCTGTCTTCTTTGAAGAATAATGTTCTTATTCATAGGAGGGTTGATAATCCCTATCCTTTAGAAGCTGGTAAAAGGAAGTTAGAGCAGGAATTGTAAGAAGCTGTCACACGTGGGTGTGGGCAGGGCAGCTGTGAGACAGGAGGGAGGAGACCGTGCAGAGATGGTCTGGGTATCACCCACCAGTTAAAAGCAGAATACTCTTTAAAGAAAAAGCTTTAAGAAATCCAGTCAGTATTTGAAAATCCTTTCTTCTGAGGTTATGGTAATTTAAGATTGTCACCAGGGATGGATAAGGTTTTAACCTAGTGAAATGGGTGAGAACTGTCCCCATTCATGATGTGCCAGTCATAGAAGAATTAGTGTGGCACATGTCCAAGTTGCAGTCCCCAAGTAGACCAGAAATGTAAAAAACGTATCCAAACAATGGAAAAAAAAGAATGAAAACAGGACCTGTAAAGAATTCCTAAAGAATTTGCATTATATTGCTTGAGAGTAAGGAAATTTGGAGGTAAACCTGAGAGCATTTTGTGAGACTTAAACCACCACGGGGAACATTCCTTTTAAGGTGTTTGCAGGTGAACCAACAGCTTCTCTGGAGGCCTAGATATAATTTCTCAATAAAAATTCTATCTAAAGTGTCCAAGGATCTGAATTAATTAATTAGTTCTGAGACATTGCTTGGTACTTTCTCACTGGAGAAAAACAAAAACAAAGAAACTGCCTTATCATACTAAAGAACTCAAGATGAGGATCAATACCACCTTGGCCAGAGCTTATAGATAGGCTGGCTCCCTGACCTTTAATGTAAAAATATTTCTTGCTTAAAATACCTACTTGAAGACAGGGACAAGTTAGAGCTCTGTGTGTCTAGCTGTCCTCTGAAGTTCAGGGTAAATAGTGATTTTCATTTTTTAAAGTCATAGTTCAATTGATCTCACATGCAGTCAATTTCGAGTTTATTTCTTTTTACTTTCAGCATAACCCAAATGGGCATGTGCTACTAAGAATGACTAGAATTAAAATAACCACACCATCTTCACAAGATAGCCAAGGAAGAAAAAAAAAATCAGTCTTCACATTTAAGTCAGTTAGTCCTTTTTTAATAAATTTGAATTCATTCATCAACAAGTTTCATATTGTATCTATCACTCAATTTTGCTGTTTTTTTCATGTCAAATAATACCAAAAAATTACATCAATGTGCTTAAGCAAAACTGGGTTTAAATTTATCTTTACAATAAAATGAAATCAACATGAGAATTGATTATGACAGCAATCGCCTATTCCTACTAGAATAATCCTGTACTTACCTTAAACACACTCAACTGACTTGTGAAGTAGAAACATGAGACAAGTGTGACAAAACATGTTCACGGGGTTGGTCCTAGGGAGAGGCACATGGGAGCCACTCTCTGGGAGGTCATTGTTTGCCCAGGTGTTGGGAATTTAGTATTTCAGCAAAACATGGCACCTTTCAATGCAATAGAAGAGGTAATCAATCCAAGGCACACTAGCTAGTGTCCTGGAAAAATTTAATTCACCTGGGCAGCTCTTTACCCCAAGATTCGATGTTACTCTAATGGCTCACACTGAGAGCCAGAGTCAATTCCAAGAGTAACAAAATATTTCACCAAGCGTTCGGTTTTGCTTACATAAAATGGCCAGAAATATGAACTGGTTTTCAGGTGGGGAGTTAAAGTAAGAATTAAGTGATGGTTTATACTTTCAAGCCAGGAGATTCAAAGTTGGACACATTCTTGTTAGAACACACCACGGTGGGACAAACACCAATGGATCATCTACTAGATGCTGAAAACGAACATCTACAACTGCAATGTGCCTGTCCCCTTAAAACCAGCCCCAGACTTGTTTGACATCACCTTTGAGATGATCCCCTTGGTAAAAATGTCAGTGCTGTGTCTGGACGAGAGAGAACTGCCTTTGAGGGAGTGACCGAACATGTCCAAGTTCTGGGTGCTGGCGTTAAAAACACAAGATATTGCAGATGTACAGGTAGCTTCCACACCTAATGGAAATATTCTCATGACATACCTTCTAGTTCGTGTGAGATTCAGGGGGAAACGGATGTCGCATGGTATAGACAGTGGAACCCCTCCACAGTCCCGGGGTTGGTGAACAGGAGTAACACTTGTTTTAAGGAGCACTCAAGTCTATCAGTCTTTCTCTGTAGGGAGTTATGTAGCAGGGCTCTTCCATGATCTCAAGGATATCTGAATATGAGTAATAACAAACTGTCACAACAAGATTCTTCCGTAGATCTTGAGCCCCTGTGACGCATTTTGGAAAGACAGGACTACTTAGAAAATTAACTTTTTATTACTTTCAGTTGTTAAGAAAGAAATCTCATTATATCCCCAATGATAATGTTTCTCTCCTTACTCAAGAGGTCTGGGTGTGGGTAGCAGCCACCTCCCAACAATGTCAGAGGTCCGGGTTCAGGATTCCTCAACGCGGCTCAGTCACTGGCTCAAATAACTACTGTGGAGTACTGAGAGGTCATTTGAACACAACAGAGACTCCAATTCAACTCTCTTCTGCTAACACAGAGTTCTCTTCTCAATGTTCTCACAAGTTTTAAAAATGGAGAAGCTATAAAATAATTGTGTTAGAAGAAAAGTAATTTTCTTCTGATATGGAGTAAAGCAAACACATACCCAAGGATCTTAAAAAGTTTTCTTTTGTTGTTTTTACAGAATATATGTATGTATTTGTGTGTGTGTGTTTGTGTGTGTGTGTAGTTACAAACACTATTTATAGTATAGCTAATATGTTAACTTCATCGCGGTGTCTACAAAGTTGTGGATCCCAGTCTTGGTGCCAAATGCATATAAAAAGCTCAAAAGCTATTATGACTATACCATGCAAATTTATATCCAGAAAACCTCGGGAAGGAGACTGCAGCTCCTTGGAGCCTCATGGGGTCTCTGCCTGTGATATTTGGGTACCTCAACTATGCATCAAAAAAGTTTTAAATCACTTTTCTCCCAGAAAGAATTAATGTCACAGTTCTGAACAGTATAAATTATACACTTAAATAGACCATCGACTGTTTTTGTCCACATCCATGTACATTTTGGGGTCCCTCTTCTGCATGTGGACTTCACACCTTTAATTACTGGATACGGAAAAATATATACCTGAAGTATTGAAAGGGATAAGGTCTTTGCAAATGTATTTTTTTCTTTAACATGATAATAATGATAAGGCCACTTACAAGGTTTTTCCCAATCTGTTTAACTTTTAGGATCCCCCATTGTTACCGATGGAAAAAACTGTCAGAGAAAAGCCAAAGCCAAAGGAATCCCTGGCTAGTCTCCAGATGAAAATAAAACCAGAGAGCAGTGATTAGGAGGAAAAAGATAGGAATGAAGGAGGGAAAAGGGCCTTAAAGGAGGTAATCGCCTCTAGCGTGAGATTTTGTGGATTATGTTTTGTCTGATGGTGGGTTTTGAACTGTTGCAGATGCCCACAAATTAAAGGTTGTTACAGCCACCAAAGAAAAATCAAGTAGTGGTCACCTCATGGGGACAGTCTACACCACAAGCATCCTCAGGGAAGGTGGTGCCCCTACCTATGTCGAGACAACTGGGGCCAGCCATCGGAGCACTGGGCTAGACTCCGGTCCTTGGTTTTGGATAGAACAGAGAGGGTGAGGCATACGTGGCATTTTGGGATAAAGTATTAATTTAGCAGTTCTTCCTGCAAATTTGCTTTTTATTTTTTCTCCAAATGCTCAACTTCACTGTGACACCTGTTTGCACAACTGTAGTCATTTCAGTTTATGGATGCCTGTGATAGAAATATTGTTTACAAAAAATATATCATCTCTTTTTTTTTTTCTTTAGAAAGATCTCATCTAAATAGTAAGTTAAGGTTGCGTCTATGAAACCGGTGCACCTTGTCTTGTTTCTACGAGCTTTAAAAAGTCCAAATACTGATGAGGCTGTGGATCAGAAGGAAGCAACAGTGACCGAGTTTGCCGTCAGGTTGCCCTCCTTTGCCTCAGAGAACGGTCGTGGGTCGTTGGGTGACGCGTGGTGTGTAGGGGTCATGTTCCTGCAGAATCCTCGTCAGTCTGGGAGTAGTTGGATGTGCTTATGAAATATGTCAGATACAGAAATAAAGGCATGAGGATGTTTCTTAGTTTCCAAAATTGAACAGAAGTGTTTTAGCTTCAATCTTAATTTCTAGATAACAGAAAGTAGTTACATCACATAAAGGAAACTATGACATCGCATGCTGCCGTGATAGCAAGCGTAAGAAACGAAATCTTGGTAAATATACATATATATGCATATTATGCAAATATATTTTCTATTAACATACAATGTTATAAGAATGATTGATAACATAACTGCAAGGGGGAAAATCATCCTAGATGGTTTTACCTTAGAGTAACGAATAACCTGAGACGTCTATGCTTTCTGTTGGATATCAGGCCTAGAAATCCATACGAGATGTAGAGCACATTTTCAGTGATTGAAATGTCATTGGCAAAATGTGCCACTGTGTTCGCACATGACAGTGAAGCTGGATCCACTCCAAGTGAATAACAGAAACAAACTACACACTGTATATTAGAGTACTTACAATGAGATGCCATTCACTCCCGATGGGTTTTCAAAAGACGGTCGTTCAGACATCAACGTGGGATCTATCTATGTTTAAGACAACAGGTAAGCACACTGCCAGTGGCTCACCCCAGCCACTAAACCATTACAGAAAACGTATGCCCGGTGAAAACAAACCTCATCACCAGAAAAGCCAAGAAGCCTTCGCTTACTAAACTGAACGAGAGGATATGAAGTGAGTGACTCATTTTAAACTAGCAATACCACTGTATGAGTTTTCAAAGATTAACTAAGAATGTCTTTCTGATTTTTAAACTAAAACATCTAACTTATGGTAATAAAAGACACATTTGGGGATGATATTGTGTTTCACGCCCTCATTCTCAAGGCATAATATTTAGATACTTGTCCCTTTCAATTACAAAAGAAAAAAACTATGACTTTCTTTAATATGCATCCTGTGGTAAATTGTCCATAGCTGCAAAATGTATATATGTATGTGTATTTGTCTTCCATACACATGGGCACTGACTCCTGTGTGTATAAACATATACACATACATCCTCATATACACGTGTATTTTATATATATGCTGAGAAAGTTCACATATATATACAATTGCGTATGTATATATGTGTGTGTCTGCTTGTGTGTGTGTCTGTGTGTGTACAGGTATAAAAACTTGACAGGCAGAGTAATATTTCACTCAGTGTTAAATGAAGTCTTTGAAAAATCAAGTACAGTCACTCAGTTAACATAGTACAGCCAGTAAACTAAGTTGAAAAGAGAAAAAGTGAATGGAAACACGATCCTGGACCATCTGTCTATGGCATTCACATCGGTTAGATCAGGTATTTTAATTTTGAGCTGCGAAGACCTCCTCCGTAGATGGGTCTTCTTGTGCGGGAGGCTTCTGTCCCCCAGGAATCGCCCATGCCCTTCTCGAGGCATGCTCTGTTTCCTGTACTGGATTCCTGAGTTGTCAAAGGATATTGCTGAATTCCTGGTATCGCCAACACCACCTGCGACCTCATTCATTTCATTGTGAACTTCCAGCGATGTCAACAGAATATTTCCATGAGCATCCACCTAATTGGAAGGAAAATGCACATGGTTAGACAGCCAGCAGGCCAATGAATCCGATTTCCCTATGCAGATCCCGGACAGAATGATGTCATGCCATCACCTTACATGTTTTACGAGAAACTGTACATCTGTCAAACCCAGCACTCCGTTTTATTGGAAAATGTCATTTTGGAGGTTAATTGCAGTTGAGAGATTTTTATTTCCTTGATCTAAAAATGCTCATGTAAGAGATTAGATGCAAGAAGGGGGAGCGGCTTTTTCAAATTGCAATTTCACATTATGGATACAAATCCTTACTGAAAAAATTAAAGTACAAATGACTTTCAAGCTGTTAACTTAGGTGCTCTAACCATTTTCACAACAATGCTTTGAATAAAAACTATATTCTCCCATTTGTCTTTGGAAGTCATCTCGTTCCCTTTTCTGATGATATAACACACCCAAATTACTACAGAGAAACACACGAATAATCCCGTGATCTAAAGGCACGCCTGATGACTTCTGTGGAGTAGATACACACACCCCCAACCCCAACTCAAGTAGGCTCCCCTTGCCCAATACTGGTTCTGGCAGGAGACTTCTTTTTGAAGGGCTACATATAAAATAGATGAAATTCCCTTCCCACAATGGAGCCAGATTTTACAATGATAGCGTTTTATTCTGTGCCAAATATAGCTTCAGACGTTTCATGATGATGCCAAAGGTCCACTCTGTTTGTGGGTTGGTCTGCCCCGGAACTTTGAACCTTTCACAGAACATCCTGGGGCTGGGGGCCCCAGTGGAGTCCTTTCTGAAATGAACTATTAGCATCTGCTTTCTGAGCAGTTCCCATCCCTGCCACAGCGCCAAGGGCCATTCCACAGTCCCCCGGGCTTTCACTCCAGCAAGCCCCACACTTCTCTATTTCTCTTCTCTTTCTTTGCCTGGAGGGCCATTTTCTTTGTCCTGTTTTTGGCTGTGGAGAGGCTACCCCGTGTTCCAGTACTAGATTAAGTGTCTGTGGCTTCCTCCATAACTCTTTCATAAAACACAGTTATTTTGTGTAGGAATAATTTATTGCTGTATTAATTTGTGTCTTCCCGCCTTCTGCAATGTCATCAGTGGCATCCAGCTAGATGAGCAGGAGGTGAGGTGGTGAGAGAAGTCCTGCTCGAGAAGGCGCTGGGCCTGTGTGGAGTTCCAAGTGGGGATAGGACCACCGGTGGGATGACTTCAGACTTCAAGGGGGCTGGGACACAGGAAGGGCTGTACATCCAGGGACCACTCAGACTTTGGTGGAAAGGCACCAAAGAGGACTCTCAGATGTCTACAGGTTTGGTAACATCATTCTAGGTCACTTCATTATGCTTGGGGAAAGTGAGGTGGTCATCGGGGTAATGGCCCCCAGGGAGGTTGGAACCCTAGGATCAACCCAGTCTGGTTCAACCTTGTGTAATAAAATGGTGAGTTATTTTCAGTTGCCATGAACCCCCAGGTTGAAGGTCATGTAACCTGAGCATGCCCAGATGGACCAAGCACACAACCATAGGTGGAGCCTAAGTGCTCAGCAAACACCATGTGGCAGGATCCAGCATCCAATCAGATTGAGCCCTTGTGTCGCCCCATGGCACGATGCAGCCAGACCACACCTCCCAGCATCACCTCATTGCAAGAGCCAATCAGAACATGCCTCATTACCCTATGCCTATAAAACCTGCCCCAAACCTCAGTTCCACGAAACAGATTTGAGCATTTCCTCCTATCTCCTTTATTGCTGACTCGCAATAAAACTTTTATTTTCTCAAAATTTGGTGCCATCGTATTGTCTTCCAGCACATCAGGCAGTAAGCCCAATCATCGCTCGGCACCAAGCTCACAATCCTCACCAGATTCCGTGACTATGTTACCCTATGCAAAAGTGACTTTGTGCTTGTCATTAAGGGCACATACCCTAAGATAGGAAGATGACCCGGGATTGTCCAGGTGGGCCCAATCTCATCACACCTTCAAAAGTAGAGAACTTTCTCCAACAGGAAGCAGGAGAAAAAGAGAGATAAAAGCAGAGGAACTCAAAGCCTGAGGACTTGAGTCACCCTCGATGGAAAGGCTGTAGGGAAAACATAAGAAGGAACAAGACAGCTGATAGGAGCAAAGATGGCCCCAGCTGACAGCCCAAAATCAAATAATCCCATTAGAAAACGGACAAAGGCTCTGAATACACATGTCTCAAAGGAAGACATACAAATGGCAAACAGGCACATGAAAAAAATACTCAGCATCACTAATCAGGAAAATGCAATTCAAAGCCACATGAGCTATCATCTCACCCCAGTGAGAATGGCTACTATCAAAAAGACAAAAATAACAGGTGCTGGCAAGACAGCCAAGAAACAGGATCTCTTAGACACTGTTGGTGGGAATATACATTCATACAGCCATTATGGAAACCAGTAGGGAGGTTTCTCAAATAACTAAAAACAGAACTACCGTAAGATCCAGCCAAGGCAACGGGGACCTCAATTTACAATCACAGGGAGTTGTACTTGACCAAGCACCTGAGTGATCCTGGAAGCACAGTTAACCCCAGAGCCTGCAGAAAGGAAAGGAACACAGACTGCCAGTACCTTAATTTCAGCCTCCTGACACCCTAAGGGAAGGACCCAGTCGAGTCTCACTGTACCTGCACATCTGGCCTAACAGAATCATGAGATAAAACCAGGTGTCATTTAAAGCTACTGCATTTGTGGTGCTCTGTTACAGTGGTAATCAAAACTACTATAGGAGGTGAGAGGGAAGGTACATTTGCATTGCGCCTCGAAGAATGAGTAGAAATTTTTCAGACAAAATGCAGCAAAAACATCACAAGCAAAGCTGGAAGAATACCTGAAATGTTTTGAGAAAAGCAAACACCGTTCCCAGCACATACTAAGCTGAGACAGATGAGGTCACGATCATTACTGCCATGATCACTTTTGTATCCTCTTATCACAATAGAAAAGTACACCTCGTGCTGGGTGGAAACACAGATTAGATTCAGGCCAGTGAGGTTTTTGTTTTTTGTATGTCAGGTGAAAGAATTTCAATTTAACTCTTTAGGGAACAGAAAGAGTAATTTCTAGGTAGAAAGTCATAGATTTCTGAAGTGCAACTCAAGCTATAAGAAATTGAATTTGAGAAGAGAGCGTGCAGAGCGGTGCCCCAGGAAGAGCGCCCTGCAATGGTTTCTGTTTCCTTTAGGGCGGTCTGGAATGGAAATGCCCGAAGCCCATGAATAACTGCTCCCCTGGCGACTGCAACCCATCTGGGGGTTTTCCCTAAGCCTCGAGACACACACGGCATGCCCACAGCAGCAACGCTGGGCCTCCGCCTGCCCAGTGCTGAATCTCCGTAGCTCAGGGGCTGGGGAAGGAGTGGAGAGTCACTCAGCACCCCAATCCCCCTCCAGCCCACGCACTCCTGTTCCCTGTGAGCTCCTAGCAGGAGCGTTCACACGGCAGCAAGTGTGCCATGAGTCCGGGTGGGGCCAGTGCTTCTAAACCAGTGCTACATCCTATAGTTATAGGATGAACAGTGTCACTGCGGGTCTTCCCTGTCGTTTACAGCCAGCATTGGTTTAGATGCGGTCAGAGAGTGACCTCATCTGTCCTCCACTGGATGGAGTGGTCTCCTTAGAATGGAGGACGGCCAGGCTGAGAGTGCTTGGACCGAGATCACACCACCCGTGCTGGAAGGCCCTTCATGGAGACACATGATGTGGGAGGTGAGGAGGGCATTTTCTTATATTTTTTATCCAGCAGAAGGAAAATTCTAATGGAGCTTGTATCTCAAAAGCACTTGGAATGTTAGACCTTGGTAAAATTTTGCCTTTTTCTTTCTTTTTTTTTTTTTTCAGATGGAGTTTCACTCTTGTTGACCAGGCTGGAGTGCAATGGCGTGATCTCGGCTCACCACAACCTCTTCCTCCCGGGTTCAAGCAATTCTCCTGCCTCAGCCTCCCGAGTAGCTGGGATTACAGGTGTGTGCCACCACGCCCAGCTAATTTTGTATTTTTAGTAGAGATGGGGTTTCTCCATGTTGGTCAGGCTGGTCTCAAACTCCCAATCTCAGGTGATCCTCTTGCCTCGGCCTCCCAAAGTGCTGGGATTACAGGTGTGAGCCACCGCACCCAGCCTTCTGTTATATATCTGTCCTTTCTGTTTTCTTTCCATGGGATGATTAGCAGCAAAACTCTTTAAATGACAAAGTGTGTCTGCACGTCTTTAAGACAAGCGAAGCATTCCTTGGTTTGGGAGACAGAGTTTCTCATTGTACCAAGAGAATATGGCAGGAGAAGCCCAACAGTTAAATTCAGGTGTGGCTGAAACAGGTGCCCATGGCAGTAGCATGTCCCCTGCGCAGGCCACCTAGGGCTAGCTGTGGGAGTGCTAGGGCCACACCTTCCTGGGGCAAGAGTAGTCATTCACTATCCCTGAGAAGGGGTAACCTGAACCTGCCCTGGATGCTGCACGGAGGAGGGCTTGGCTGGGCAGCCCAGCTGGTCTTTGCAGGAAGAACGATTCACAGCAAGATTCTCCAGGAGAGAAGCTTGTCCTCTGGTCTCTATCTCCTTCCAGCACCTTCTATGGTATCTTGTGGCACGAAGGAAAGATGTGGTGGAGAGAATGAGCTGCCTGGCTCACGCTGGGAATCCTGTTGTGGAGAGGGCCTGGGAGGGGGGGTCGGCCAGTGTGTTCCTGTTCATTTGGGGTGTTCCATTCATTCCATTTACTGCAACGAATATGCTTGGTACCCCACCAAATACGTCTGATTTTGAATCATGAGAGAAAGTATATTAGGTTACCATGTAAAGGAATTTGATAAGTTGAGATCATTTATCAAATAAGCTCAATTTGATTTTATTAGAATGTCCAGCATTTTAAACAGTTCTACTTAAATGGTAAGCTTATGTGTTTAAAATTTATCTGATGTTGAGTCAGAAGATAATCAAAGGTGGAAGATGCTTGTAGTAGTTTTTTTTTTTTTTT